CGCGGGGAGCCCGGGGGCGGGTTGGGATTCTCCCTGGCTCCGTTTGGGGGGAAAGAGGAGCCCCGCGTCGCCATCAAGAGAGAAGGGGACCATGACGGGGGCAGTGTAGAAAGGCAGCAGGATGGGGAGGTGCTGGAGGCATGGGGGAACGGGAAGGAGCCCTGGAGAAGAGCCGCGGTCAAAGCGGAGCCGCCCGAGGCGGTGTTCGGGGTCTGCAGGGTGAAGGTGGAGCAGGAGGAACCCCCAAGCGAGCCCCTGCACGGATCCGCTCCCACCGGCGCCGGGGACTGCAAGGTGCAGCTGCTCGAGGGGTTCAGGGTGCTCCCGGAGGATGTGAAGATCCCGGTTGTGGTCCGTCCCTTGCCTCCCGGGACCCGCATCCAGATCCAGGGCCCTCTGCCGCCAGAGCTCATCCATGTGGCGAAGGCGCCGGTGAAACCGGTGCCGCTTAAAATGCAGTCTTTGCTGGAGCCTTCCGTAAAGATTGAGACAAAAAATGTTCCCCTCACGGTGCTGCCCTGCAATTCAGGTATTACGTTAAGGGAGCTGGCAGGGGTGCAGTGAGGGGCACGCAGCTGACAGGTGATCAGATAGAACACGAGTGGGAAGGTTATGTTAGAGAACCAGCCCGTTGGATAGGCTGGAGTTGTTGTACAACTCTTCTCCAGCATAAGATGTGAGCATACAGGAGCAGAGAGTTCTCTACTGGTTTGGTAAAATCAACACAGTTTTGTCTGCTTCCTCCCTGACTACGTTAAACCCCTTATAACAGTGTTCAGAATTGCGTTGAGTTGTCATTGCAAGTCTAAGGTCAGGTATCTGCTTGATTTTTAAGGCTGTGAAGCATTTGTACACCTCTCTGAGAAAATTTGGACATGTTAAATGAGGAACACTTTTAAACATCTGGATTAGAAATTTACTTTTTTTGAAAGATACATAGACTTTCAAAATTAATGACTCAAAGTGAGGTTTTAAAAGACTAGAAGACACTTGCCCTTTATTGATAATGTGAAAGAGTTCACTCCTAAGCCTTTTTCAGAGAGGAAGTTGCTTGCTCAGGGATCAGTTGAGAGGGGTCTGGGGGTTCATCATGTCACCAGCTCAATTTAAATGCAGTCTGCGTTTGCAAACAGACAAAGCTGGGTGTCATGTCACAGTCATTTGCTAACACAGGTTCCTCCAGCAAAATGAGTGTCCAAATCTGTGGAAAGAGTGAGAGCGGAAAATAAAACCCCAACCAGAAACCCAGAACAGCAACAACCTCAGCTGAGAAGCCAGGGGCTGCACAGACATGGGACTAAACCACCATTACCATCGTTAGATCTGGTCCCTGCATCATTAGGGCTTTGTTTCGGTGGTGATGAAAAATTTGTAGTGCTATGGTCCGTGTTATACAATGTTTGTGTTCAGTGAAGGTTAGTGGAGGATACTCCCTTAGCTTTAGTTATTTTTCTAGGAGCTGCTCTCTAAATGTGCATCGAGTTTCATGTGTTCCAAAGCTCTGGCAATTCTTTTGACTATTGCCAAATATTCTCTTGATCTACTATTGAATGTAACCTGTACTGCCTATATTGCCAGGAAGATTATAATCTTTCCTTGTTCTGTTGCACAGGTATGCCAGATATGCCATTTAGCAAGGACAAAAGTGGCCACATAAAACGTCCAATGAACGCATTTATGGTGTGGGCCAGGATTCATCGGCCTGCCCTAGCAAAAGCTAACCCAGCTGCCAATAATGCAGAAATCAGTGTTCAGCTTGGACTGGAGTGGAGCAAACTGACTGAAGAGCAGAAGCAGCCCTATTATGATGAAGCTCATAAAATAAAACAAAGGCACAGAGAGGAATTTCCTGGTAAATGCTTTAGAAGTGCAAAAAAATGGATCTCTTTCATTAGAGCAAGTAATAGAGTTAGAAAAAAAAAATTACAAAAATTTCAAGCACGCAGTCCTTTTGTCAGCCTTCTGGTGCCTGAAAGCATATTCATTTTTTAAAGCATCCGAAATGATGTTTCGTCCATTATAGCCTTTAATGTTTCTTATGGTCTTAGGCCACCACAGCTACAGCAGCTCTTCTGAATGTTTTATTAGTCTAATGGCCAGATACTGAGTTTATTGTGAACATGACCTGCTACATCCTCTTACACGCTCCAGAAAGAGCTGCCCAGGTGGCCTGTGGTGACACATGCATCCATTCCTTAAAGCAGGAAAAGGAAACGGCACAGGAAGCACAAATGGCTTTGTATTCTGTGGGATTCTTCAACATGTAGGCTTGGGATTCACAAATAACAGTGTGGAAGATGCTGTTTCTCAGACTCTTGTCAAAAGGGTTAAAAATTTGTACCCATAACAAATTAATTTCTCAATTTGCAGTTCAATAAAACAGAGCATAAGTACTTTGAACATTCTTAAAAAGCTGTTGACATGCCAGGTGTCATGATCCTTTCTCTCTCTGTTGTCACAATCCTGCTAGTTCATGATGTGGCCAGTCCTGGTAGACAAGATCTGAGAAATCTGTCATGAACAAGACAAAGATAAGGGCAGCACTCTCCCTCTCTCCTTGCACCGTTAAAAAAAAAAAAAAAAAAAAAAAAAAGTGATTCTTTAAAGTAGCATTAAGAGTTAGCCTGTGTAGGAAACAAAGGTGCACGGTGTAAACTCACAATATGTATCTGTTAGTGTTCGGTTAATGTTGTAAGTCAAAGGCAAATGTACTCCTCCAAAATCTGTACAGAATTCATAGTGGGTCATATTTTCTATTGTCTCTTGTAACCTGCAAGTATATGTTAAACTTAAGGGGTTAAGGAAACAGTCAGTTACAATTTAGTAACATAAAAACAATGCTCAAATGTGTCAATTTTATTTCCACCTCTGATCAAATGGCCCATTTGCTGGCTCACTGAAACAAGAGGAGTTTTGCCATTGACTACAGGAGCAGTTTTTGGTCTAATTTTTTAGAGATACTTCAGAATTAGTTACCATAGCTTAACATAAAGAATGAGACCATCCCAAAAACTGGATGTCTGCATCTTTTTTCATCTCTGACAGGTTGGGTTTATCAACCACGAGCAGGCAAAAAGAAACGTCTTCCACTGCCTATCTCTACTGTGTTTTCTGGCACTTCTCAGAGTATCATCACTACAAATCCAGCTGGCACGTGGCCCCCCCAGTCACCTGCTTACTCTGTTGTCATCCCCAGTGTTAAGAACAGTATTGGACATCCAGTCTGTGAGTTTTCAGTAGTGAATTATTTTAAAAATTTTGAATTTACCCATTGTAGTAAAAATTATACGTACAGTAGTGTAGATACAGTTAAACCAACTTCTCAATCTTTCTTGACACCACTGTTTCCATCAGTCCTCCTGTGAGCTGCACCTCTGCCTCCTAGTCACCTCTACATACTGTTTCCTCAGCCTCTTAAATTTCTTCTGGGTTCTTCATTGCGCACAGATCCCTGCTATTGTCCTTGTAGCTCCTAGTTCTCTCCTCCCGCCTCTTGGTCTTTTTGGATCTCTGTTACTTAACCCATGCTTCCTGTTGCGCTACGGCTGTTTCTTTTTCTTGTTCTGTCTCCACCTCGCTCATATCTTAGCTCACCACTAGCGCTCAGTCCCGCTGTACTAAGCCTGAAAAGCTCATTAGCTGAGTCCATGGCACCTCCACTCTGAGGTTGGTGTTCATCATAGTGAGGGCACTATTGCTCTAGAGCAAATGCTCCGCAGCTTAGACTGCTTACAAAAGACAGTAGACAGAATTGCCAACAAGGTCATCAAAAAGGAAGTTAGTAGGGTGTTAGTAAGGTGTGTGCTGCAATATTAAAGCGGTTGCTAAATCTGAAAAAGAATGTTGTCATTTGCACATTTTCCATGAACTGTCACTTAGGTTTCTAGGCACACCTGGAATGGTTCTATATGTAGTTCTTATAATCTTGCACATGCCCACAGTTTGAGCATACATGGCTCGGTGCTTATGCAAACAAAAATATCGTTACAGAAGGGATGCATTAAAAAGTTGTACCTAACCTGGAAGGATCCTGATTTTTATAGGAAGTCAGTATGGGCAGTGAAATAGGTTGTAGCACAAGAACCCACAGGCAGCTATAATAGTCAGAAATAGCTCTGGCAGTGCATGGGTGGTAGCTATCAACAACAAATACCTCAGATCCAGGCAATGGCATTTTTCTTTTTAAGCATGCTGACAAGGGCTGCCCTCTTTCTAATGAGGCAAGAAACTGAAATGCCTGTTTATGCTGCGTGGTAATATTCAGAGACGTAAATGAGAGCACTCAGCTTTGTTCTGGGGAAGTTCCGAGTTAGTCATGTGATCCTTTCTCAAATCCTTCTGTAACCTTGACTGAATAAAGTATTTTTTGTTTTCTTACCCCAGTATATTTTATAATGTTAAGTTGTCCTCAGATGCTACTATGTTTCATTCCAGAGTTTACTGTCCCATTGAGGTTGGAATGATTCTCAAATACAAACTGTAAAAAATCTAGATGAATTTAAGTCCTGTTGACTCAGAATTTAGACTCTTAGACTAGATAGTAGGGTTTGAAAATACTCATGCAATGTGTTTTGAAATCTTTCTGTATAAAGGCAGCCCTGTTGAGGTGGCGTGTGGTTTGAAAGTGTGCATTCAAGTGTATGTTCTGCAAAATGTTTCAAAATGAAATTGGCTAGCGGTAGGTTCATTGGTGAAACAAACAAGAGAACTTATCAGAGTAGGATGTTTTAACTGTTGCTTCTGCTTTTAATTGTTGCTTTGGCACCACACAGATTTGTTAAGAATTTGGCTCACTCCAACTCTGCTAGTAGACTTGGGAGGGCTTCTGAGCTTCAGGCACTAAATGTGCAATCCAGCTCCACTCTGTGACCATATCAGGACAAGGGACAGTCCTCACCAGCCTCACAGCCTCGACACTCACTTGCCAATTCCTTCTTCTTTCACCCTTGCGTTTCTGTAGAGGGAAGCTTGAATGCGTGGGCTCCAAACCCATCTGTCAGAACACATGTAGGCTGAGTGGTGTATGACTATGAATTGCAGGGAGGTTGTGCTAGGAAGTGTTTTGGGGGAGATGGTTCTGGCTCTGGATGTGGTTTGCTACGTTGCTGCTTATGAAACCTCTTCCTCTGTTCACGTCTGATAAATAACTGTTCTGTTTCCTAAAGGTGAAGCTCCTCCTGCCATCCGTCTGCCGGCTCCTTCCATTCAACATCCTGGTCCAATTACTCTTTTCCAGACCACTAGTACAAGCACCACATCACTGGCTGTTCCAGCTCCGGTCCTGTCCCTGCGCCCTGTAATTTCACCACAGCCCTTTGCTGAACCTGTTGAGACAGAAGCGCTCAATGGATCATCTGGGCTCAATTGCTCTCTGAAGAGACCTACACCAGTTTTAATTGAGAGCTTCAGCAGAAACCCCAATAACACCACCAACACTAATGGCAGATTTTCTGTCTCTAATAGCGAGCCCCCAAAGGAGTACCCAGGGTTTCCTATTTTTCCTAGAGCTGTACCTCTTCCCCAAGCTAGCCCTTTTCTTTACCCACATCTCTATGAGCCTCTTCCCGTTGGCCAGCCAGCCAGTCTGTTTGGAGTACCGCCTCGGTTTGCCTTTCACCACCCTTACTTTGTACCTGGACCTCACTACATCTCCTCAAGGTAATGAACCCTTCATCTCAATACCAGTAAGGACAGATGCTAAAAGGCAGAGGATATTTTGACTGACAGAAAACAGATGGAGCTTTCAGTAAATTACAATACATGCGTCATTCTGCATCAGAATAAAAATTCAAGCTTCTGACACCAGAAGAATACAGTTACATTTGACATAGTAACTTCCTGCGATCTGCTATGTGGTTGCTTTTTAAATTTGTCACTGTACATTCTTTAAATAGTAACATTGACAACCAGGTATTGGGCACAAGGATTCTCTGTCAGTCCTCCTGTTTAATAACAATGTAACGATGCACGAGTGCACTCAAAGAATAAATGAGAGCATTTTATGCCAGGTCTGTCACAAATTTTGGCATACAGAAATAGCACAAGCTGACTTGTGATGCTGTGTTTTATTATTCTGAGTATGTCAGTTGACATACTGCAGGATTATCAGACGCTGGTTTATCCATGTTATTTCATTGATAAAAACAATGGAGTTTGTGTTTGTTTTCAAAGCAATGTCATGCATGTATGAAGAGATGGATGTGCACGGATATGGAATCTGTGCACAACTCTTGCCATGGCCCCAGTGTTTAAATTAGGCATGGTTTTGCAGTATAGCTGTTTTGAATATTTCAACAGGATAAGCTGACTAGAGTAGAACATTAGGGTCATTCTGTTTTTCTTAGCTGAATGGAAGTCCAGGCAGTCTGCATTTCTAAAAGCCAAATTTCACTCTCTCTCGTTGCAGCACATGCCTATTCAGCCGCCCTCCATTTGGCTGTGGGAATTTCTCCAGCCCAGTGCCTGAATGCCTTGGCTTTTATGAAGACAGGTACCAAAGGCAGGAGGTGATGTTTTCAGGTCTGAATGAAGACTATCCTTACAAGGAATCCCCAGAAGAAAGTATACGTGAGGAGCACAGCTCCAACGAGGAGCGGTATCTAAGCCCCCTACCACAGCTGGACGTCGGAACGTTGGAGGAGGTTTTGTCAGTCACGCCATCTAGTCCCTCCAGCATCCAGATAGTCAACATCACTGACAGCGACGAGGAAGAAGAAGTAAAGTTGTTGCAAGAATTGTAAATTTCAAAACAAATTATAATCCAGAGAAATATTATAGATTGGGAAATTTCTTTTTTTTCTTTAACACCATCTTTTCAGTCAGTATGTTAAATGGAAAGCCCATGTACCTTGAGCGAGCTGTACAGGTCATTTTGAATGATATGATACTGTTTGTATTTTGAGAGATCACATACAGATCTGGGGGGGTTCAAAAGCCTCTGGAGTATCACCTGCTTCATCAGAGCGTTGTTTGGGCTCTGGCTCAGCAAAGCACAGAGGAATTCAGCTCAAAGCATGTGAGAGTGTGCTTTCCTAAGGAGAGGTGTGTTTAAGCACATCCTTTTAAAGCCAAAAGAGGCATTTTGACAATATTTGCCATAATTTTGTAGGTATTACTTTAGGAGTTTTAGCAAGTGAAATAATTCTGGTTTATGACTGCAATGTAATTCTTGCTGCAGTAAAATACTATAAGGCCTGGGGAGTGAAGTCAAGAATTATTTTGCAGTGCTTTATATTTTTCCTTTGAAGAGGCAGTTTTAAGCTAAATTTGGTTAATTTCTGACTGTTGTCTGTATTAGAGGTACAACTGCTATATAACACACTGAAAATTTACATCTGTTTCAGTAATGCCTTGGTCAGCAACCAGTTCCATTAAGAAAAATTGGATTCTCCAGAAGGCATGGTGAGGTGTGGGAGCACCCAGAGAGAGGAAAATGGATGGGGTCTGGCCCTGTGACTTACACTAGTGAGCTGTGACTTGATCCCTGAGCATAGTTAGTAAAGAATTCTCCAGAGAATACCAAATTCTCTGAAGAATATCAAAGGCTTTTGACAGGGAGAGTTTCTGTGCTGAAGTCGAAGAGTAATGAAATCCAACATTTTTTGGCCAAAATTTGTAATTTATTTTACTAAGTGCTTTTTTCCTCTCCTGTTTTGTGGAATAGAGGGTTATTTTCTTCTGGGAATCCTGTTATTTTGCAGTTGTTGTATTTGAATAAACTCACCTGAACAGCATATCCCTAGTGCTTCATTTTAACCCACGGACGTTGAACTGAGTGGGGACAGGTAAATCGCAATTTCTGTCACTCACAGACTTACTGCGCAGCTAAGCTGCACGTGCCTAGAATGACGAGCTGAAGTCACTTTTTCAGACAATTTGGGCTGCTAATACTAGTGTATATGTGTGTGTATTTATATTTATAATTATGTAACTCCAGCTACCAGAGAAATACAGGAAGAGCTGAAAGCCATGGATGGAGAAGTCCATCCATGCTGGGCTGCCAGAGGATGCAAAGGAATGATTCAGAGGAAGCTAGGTTGACCATCTCATATAGGACATCCTGTATTTCATGGGTTATCACACTGGATCTGTTGGACCTTGAGAGTCCTGTCGAACCTGAAGCTTCGGTCTCCTATATCCATTGAGATGGCATTATTGATAAAGACAGGTACAAATGAAATTTCCATATACCTCAAAAGCTGTTCCTAAATCAGGGTAGAGCAGATACCCTCTGGGTTCTTTGCATTTTAAGTTTTCAGTCTTATATCAACATTTTAATATTTTTCTGCTTCTGTGGGCTCGTAACTCCATTTTCCAAGTCCAAGATCAAAAGCTCTTATTTGAGTTCTACTGTGTTTTGTAGTTAAAGAGCACAAAGGCATGACTAAATCCTGTGTACCCTACACATTGCAACTGTGTTGTAAACAGCCCCCTGCTCCCACTGCATCTGCAACGCAGATGAATCATTAAGAGAGAAGTCTTATTAATAGTAGAAAATGCCTGTTCATTTCTAAATTATCTTCTCTCTGAAAGCTGATCTGGCCTGCAGGAATAGCAAATGTACTAATTCCTACACAAGTATGTTTTGGGGTATAAAACAGCTGTATGTGGGATTATTCCTAGATCTAACTTCCCTCTTCTCCCATTTTCCTTCTTATACACTAGAGTAGGATATAAGACATATTGCAGTCCACCAGAGTCTAGAGCGGGTTGCTTACCATGGATAATACAGATTTACTTCCTTCTAAATGGGGGTGTCTCAGAGCTGCACGCTCTTGTACCCGGTGCTGGTAGCTCTGAGTGAGCTTCAGTGGGTTGAGGGATTTGGCATTTGCTGCACAGCATCCATCTGCTAATGCGACCTTTGCTGTTTGTTTAGGAAAACACAATATTATACCTGCAGTGGAAATCTACTCTGTTTAATACCACAAAGGCCAGAGAACAGACAACTGAGGTTTAACACATCCTGGATATATCAACGTGTGGCAAGCGTGTGCCCTCCTGCAAGCCCACTTCATGGCAGGTCAGAGGGTACCTGAGACATGAGAGAGACTTGCTTTACTCTCTTATTAGATAATTATTTTCTTCTTTATCTGCTGTTTACCTTAATCTAAACTAAAAATCACCTTGCATGCTTCTCAGCTTGAAAAGCAAACAAGATGCAGATTTTCCAAACACAGTTTGTTTTCCCCCTGCTGCTGTAAATGTCTGAAGCCATTCAGTAGTGCTTCCCAGTGCCTGTGGCTATCGTTCTGCAGGGATGAGTTTCTTCGTTTCTTCTCTGAAGTTACTGTACAGTTTTATGGATTGGATGTTATTAAAAGCCCTTGTGCTGTTATACGTGTTCCACTTCTCTTACAAGAATAAACTACTCCAGTATAATCACTACAGTGTTGGAGGAGTTTGCAGGCAGCGTGGAGAGGACTATGGTGCCTCACATGTATAAATACAGTTAGAAAGATGCAACATGTCTGCATGTACAGCCTTCTACCATTAAGTTCACTTGCCTGGAGGAATGAAGCAAAACTAGCAGCAGTGACCCACCCTTTAAAAAAAGCATGGAGAGTACTTTGATATTATTTCACGAGCAGCACATCGGGACAAGCCCTTGTCCAGTACCTGATCATCTTACAGCACTTCTCCCTCTTTGGCAGGACAGCTGCTCCAGGGCTCTTCCAAGTATTCCTGCTTTTC